CCGCTGCCTGCTTGGGAGCCCGGGAACCTGTCCTGGCCGAGCTGTTCTGCCTTCTCCCCAGTGGCCTCCATGCACCCAAAGGTGGGGCCTGCCCAGCACCTTCCCCTGTGCAGACACTTCCTGTTGCCAGCCCGGACCCCCCCACATCCCAACGTGTCCTGTGACTGTCCACCCTGCTGTCTGTTCACCAAGCTCTGGGGTGTCCCATGCCCAGGGTTGATTTTGCAGGGAGCCAAAGGGGGACAGGCCTTTCCATTCCTCAGATGGCAGGATGGAGGCAGAAGGGCCACACTCCCCACACTGCCTGGCACCCCAACTCCGACATTCTGGGTCCAACAGCCCCTTCTCCCCCCAGCATTTAATGAGCACCACTGTGTACAGGCCCAGCCCTCCTGCGCCCATGGGTGGGGAAAGTTTGCCAGAGGACAGACATCCCGAGACAAACACCATCCCATCTCCCAGTGGGCCCGGCCTCCTGTAGCTGCAGACGCCCAAGCCCACCCTCACCCCAGCGGGCAGTGCGGCCCCACGTCGGACACTCGGACACTCCGAGAGGCAAACAGCGACCCCCTCGACGGCTTCCCCTGGAGCAGCCAGGCCAGCAGGCAGCTCAGGACAGGCCCTGGTGACGGCCCTTCAACCAGGGGAGCCCGGTGCTGGGCTCGGAGCAGGTGGAGGGGGGCACAGTCTTCACAGCCAGAAACAGGCACAGGCTCAGCCCGGCAGAGTCCTGGGCGGGGGTCCCAGCACAACCCTGGGGTACCCCACCCCATGAAGGTGCGAGGGAGGGGAGGGGCGGGGCCTCGCCCGCCTGCCCCACCCCCACTGTTGGTTCAGCTCCGTGACACCGTCAAAGGAGCTTTGTGGCCGCCAAATGAGCGGGTGCGATTGTCTTGGAGGGGCTCCAGGAACAAACTGGAGGGCGGCTTTCGGGGGAAAAAGTGGAAAAAATGGAGGAAAAAGCTGTGAGGGAAGAAGGAATTTGCCTCAGTGGAGCCCGGTGCCACCTTTCCTAGTGCCTGGGTGCAGGCTGAGGTCTTAGGCGGACCCCGGGCCAGGCCTGGGCTCACCCCCTATCCATTCAGTCACCTTGGGCCCTCTCTTCCGTGCCACGGAGGAGGAGCCTGAGGGTCGGAGTAGCTGTGGGGCCCCCAAGGACTCGGCTGCGAGCACTGGGGTGGGAGGTGCTGCCCTAGGCTGCAGAGGGTGGGGTAAGGGTGGAGGTCAGGGTCCTGCTCCCTGCAGCCCAGGGCCAGGAGGGCTGGGTGGGACCCAGGGCTGCCACCTTCCCACCCACACCTCAGAGGGGCACCGTTGGCAATGACCATTGCACTTCCTGCGTACCGGACGCTGGGCCACATGGGAGCTGGGAGTGACACCCGTCTCGCGGGAGGCTCGGAGAGGTGAGGTGACAGTGGGGGCAGGGGTCTATGGCCGCCCTGAGCTTGCTGCCCCTTGCTCAATGGCCAGGCCTACAGCGAGGTGGCCCCCAGGTCCTGGAGGCATGACCCCCCAAGCCAGGTCTCTAGGGCATGGTGGAAGGGAGGGTTCTGGCAGGGGGTGGGCAGCTCGGGGGCTGCCCAGGCTGGGGGGTCCTCCCAAAATGGCTGCTGAGACGATGCTGGGGCAGCCGTCCCAGAGAGGAGTCATCGGCGGAGACTGATGGTTTCCCAGGATGGTCAGGGGTCTGGGGGAACCTGCTGACCCCACCCCTCTTGCCAGGGCTTGCCCATCAAAGCCCACCTGCACTGTCTCCATCTGGCAAATACCCAGCCTCTGCCAGCCTCCTCCATTCCTCTGCCCCCCCGCCCTTGCCCCTCCCTGTGGGGAACCCCCCAGGGGCAGATGGAGCCCTTGGCCTGAGCCCCAGGCCAGGATAGCCCTGCCTCCTTCCCACTGTCCCAGGCTGTCCTGGGCAATGATCCTTCTAGGGCCCAGGGGAGAGTATTTGAAGGTAAGGGTAGGACAGCTCGCCCTTCCCAGGGACTCGCCCTTCCCAGGGACTAACCCTTCCCAGGGATTCACACGCACCCCCTCTAACTGCCACAGGGCCCAGCTCCTCAAGGGCCCAGCCAGACCCCCCGGCCCCCACCCATGGCACAGAGTAAGGCCGGCGCCCACCCTTCCAACCAGCTGTTAGCAGCTGTCACCACCTGCGGGCCCAGGGCCAGATGCCAGGCGGCTGCAGCAAGAGTGGGGTGGGACATGCTGCCTAGTAGGGGGACCTCAGGCCCACCCTCATCTGGGGCTGCTGCAGCCCCTTCCTCAGTCCCTAGTTGCACCCCGGGGTCAGGTGTGTGTCTCAGCTCAGCCACCAAGGGGAGTGGACATGGGGCCCCCCCGGGTCTCCCACCCACCCAGAGAGCCAGCATGAGCCCCGTCCCCAGAGCCTGGATGCAGGGCGGCTGATCGGGCCTCTCAGAACTGCACTTTATGGTGAGAGAAAGTAGCTCACCCTGGGGTGTCCTCTGCTCCCCCAGCCCAGGGGAGAGGCCTGGGCCAGGGCCAGGAGGTGGGAGGAGTGAGCCTGAAGGCTGCAGGCACGGCCCAGGGAACTGAGATCCCAGAGTGAGGGCAGAGTGAAGGCTCAGCCCACAACCCCTGCTGCGGGCTGCAGCCTAGGAGGCCTCGGGTCACTGCGCTGGCCACTTGGCCTGACCCTCACATGCTCCCTTCTCACCCAGAAAACGCTTCCCCACATCCCAGCCCAGGGGGCAGCTCCCCACACAGGGGGTCCCTGTCTCTGTACCCCACTTCACAGGAGTTCCCCCCCCGCCCCCTGTCCCACAGGCCTGCATGTCCTTGTGCCCTGGGTCTGGGCAAGGTTGTCTGGGCAAGGTCACCTGGGGTCACCCTCCCTCCAGCCCCTGTAGCTGGTCCAGGCCCTTGTGAACCCCTCACAGCCCCACTCAGGAGTCCTTGACCCTTGCCCTGGGGGCCAGGCCAAGTCTGTGTCCACCAAATGCCCCATGTTCCTCTCCCCTTTCCTGTGTCCCACATCCTGAACTCCTGTCCCAGGTCCCCTGGCCTGGCCCCAGGACAAGGCTCTGATCTCCTGCCAGGCCCGCCCAACAAGGCCCATGGGGGCAGGGTTGTCCCACGTGCCCCTCACCCGTGGCCTCTGTCACACTGCCCCATCCCTGGCATCAGCCTCAGGCCCCCCCTCCAGGACAGCTGCTGGACGGCTCGCCGACACCCCTTTGAAGCCAGGAGGGCTGGGCAGCAGCAGGGGGCAGTCACACCCGAGGGTGTCAGAGCCCCAGCCACCCTTTCAAGTTTGCCGGACTTCAAGGGGACCGGCTTATGGTGCACAGAATGGATCGGAGGGAAGAAGGCTGGCTGGGCATCTGGGGCTGCACCCTCCTGGCACCCACCCGGCACCCTGCACCCACCAAGGACAAAGGGAGTCTTCCGAAATGGCCCAGCCTGGCCTGGTCTGGGGGTCACCCTGAGGACATAGCTGATCTCCCTCCTCCACCTCCAGTCTGGGAGCCCCCAGACCGCACCCCAACCCCAGAAAACCCCACAGAGCTGGGGACAGCGACATCTGTGTTCTTGTTGGTGAACCCCATAGAATTGGCAGCTGCCCAGAGGCCTTCCTGCCTGTGTTCAAGGGCATTTTGGGGCCTGGTCTCAGTGTAAGTCTAGGGCATCCAGGAAGGGGCAAGGGAGCCCAGGACTCAGCCCCACAGAGCATGCAGGAGGCATGGCCCAGCCACAGTGCCCCTCTTTGGTGTGACTGCGCTCCTACTAGTCCCTGGACTCGTCCCCCCACCCTGCCCACCAAGATACCTGCAGCCCTGCCCACCTCCCAGGCCCCTCCTTGCACCCCAGAACCCAGGCAGTGCACGTTCCTCTGGGTGAGCTCGGCCTGGGAGTCCTCCAGAGAGCTGGGATGCCCAGGGAGACAGAGGTGGGGGGCGGTGGGCAGAAAGCCCCCTGCCCACCAGGGTCAGCCTGTGAGACAGTCAACAAACGTTGGCTCAGGGTGGACTTTGCACCCCTCAGGGCACCCCTTTCTCTGCCGGTCTCACAGCCCGCACACTGCACATGCCTTCTCCCCTCTCCTACCCCCCACCATGGGAAGGAACCTCCACGGTCCACTCAGGGTGTAAGGAAGTGAGGCTCTGCCCTGGAATGCGAGCGCAGGGCAGCTTGCGTGCACCTCTGCAATGTGAGGGGACAGAGCCGAGGGTGAGGGGCATCCATGTGTGCCAGTGGTCATGGCAGCACTGAGCTGGAGACAGCCAGGGACAGGAAAGGTGTGGGGAGAGGTCACAGCTGGGGATGGGAGTGGGGGGCGGGGGCAGTTGAGGGAGAAGGGTCTGGAAGCTGCAGGGGAGCAAGGAGGAGCTAACTCCCCCCAGGGAGCACCTGAGGGTGGGCAGCAGGAAGCTGAGGACATGTGGGGTGGGGGCTCTGAGCTCCAGGGTGTGGTCTGCAGGCAGGGAGGTTGGTCATCCAGATGGCAGACCAGCCTTATGAAGACTGGACGGGGCTGTCTGGTCCCCTGAGCAGCCCAGCACCCCAACATGTCCACAGGATGACCAGCTCATCAGCACGACCACTATTGCACAACCCAGGGGTGGGGGCTGGACCCTTCAGATACATGTCCTGCAGGTGGTAGGTGCCTGGATGGAGGTGACAATGCAGCCCGGCCCTCCACGGCCTCCTAGCTGGGCCCCAGAACCTGAGATGGGAGAGGCACTGAGGGCCATGGGGGCCCTCATGTAGAGGGGCATTCATTGGGCAGGTGCGGGGACTGCTGCTAGCCATGAGGCATGTGTGGGGCAGTGTTTCTGCTCAGGGGACTGAGAACGAGCCCTGGGGTCCCTGGGTCCCGGACCGAGCCTCAGCCCAGCAATGGGACTCTCAGAACCTCCTTTGTTAATGGGTTGGACCCCAAGACGCAAGCCCCCACACAGGTACACATGCACACACACACACACACACACTTGCACACACCTGTACGCAGATGCATACACAGGCAGAAACACTAGTTTAGACAAAAAGGATGCACATTTTCTTGTTTAACAAAATAAATTAAATATACGAAGCTTCAGCTCAAACTCTATATAAAATTACAGAGGTCTGAGGCCACCTTGGGCAGTGGGGCCATGGGTGCCTGGCCCCAAGGTGGACGTCCAGCATGGCCACGAGGCCAGGTGGGTCCTGGGCCCCAGGAGAGGCCAGGTCTCTGTGGCCCAGCCCTCCTTTCATCATTAATATTATTATCTTAATTTCTTAAATATAAATATTCAGGCCCCCTTCTCTCTGGCAGTGGGAGGCTGGGTGTGACCAGAGTCACTCCCAGCTGGGCTCCCGCCTCTCAGGACAGGGCCTGGGACTGCTATGCCCCACGCCCTGGCCCAGGGTACTACTGGTGGGCTCCTGGACACCCAGGACAGGTGGTGGCAAAAATAGCCACCCACCTGCCGAGGCAGGGAGACAGGCGGGCAGGCGTAGGGCAGGGGTAGGGAGTTTTTGGTTTGCTAAGCCAGGGTGCCTCTCAGATCTCCTGCCAGCCGGGGTGGTGACTGCAGCCCCTGTGAAATCCTCCTCACAGGCCAAGGGCTTCCCTCATTGAGTGGCCCCAAGCTACAGGCGCACTGCAAAGTTACAAACGCAGGCCCGAGTGTGGTGTGACTGCATGTCAGTGTGTGTAACGGGGTGTGTGTGTGTGTGTGTGTGCATGCGTCCAGGAGCGTGTGTCTCTCACGGGAAACCCAGACTTCTGGCTGAGCCCCGAACCTGTGTGCACCTCCCTCCGCAGCCCTCTGCTCCCAGCCTGCCCACCTGGCCTGGCCTCCAGGTGCCCACCCCTGGCACCTGGGGGCCCCAAGAGCAGCACCACCTAGCACTGGTAGTGGATGTGCTGGTGCTGGTGGACTTTGCCTTCCACATGTGAGTGCGTGTGTGAGTGCGTGTGTGTATGTGTATGCGTGTGCACGTCCGTGTAGAGTTTGGGGTAAAGCTTGGGGCCAGCAGCTGAGCCCGGGCCCAGCAGGTGCTGGGGGGCCGCTGGAGCCCCAAGCTCCTCACACAGCCCCACGCCCGCGGTGGTGCCGAGCGCTGGGGACACAGGCAGGTCCTTGTCCCCGCCGCGGTCTCGGGTGGTCCCAGGTGTGCGGTGCGCAGGCACAGGTGGGGTGGGCACGGGGGCACACGGCTTTTTCTTGGCCTGGCAGAGCCACAGGAGCACGGTGCCCAGGATGAAGACAGCGCCGGCTGGGATGCCGATGACCACGGGCCACGGCAGGCTCGTGGCCGAGGAGGAGGGGGCCACGGGTGGCCCGGGCGGCTTTGGATCTTCAGGAGAGAACAGGGAAGAAGGTGTGAAGGGTCAGGAGTGTCTGTGCGAGGCCAGGGGGCCGGGGCGGGGCGGGGCGGGGGGGCAC